ACGCCGCGTTCTGCGGGGCCGCGGGCCGCTTCCTCCTGCTGGCCCAGCGAGCCCGAAAGCACGTTCCTTGCAGACCAAGAAGGGATCTTTCCGTTTGGGGAACACGTGGACGCGTCCAGAAAAGTAGCGAGATAGCGAAGCAGCTTGCGGGTGGGTGGACGTGCGTCTGGAGCCCCGAGGACGAGTTCCGTTCCTAGGATTCCTTGAAGTGCCCCCTCCCCCCCGGCCCCTCCAGCTGTGTGCTTGGGGCCAAGGGATGACCTGTCTGAACCTGGATCCCTCCATCTCTGTGAATGTGCAGCGGACGCAGAGCCAGTTTTCTTAAATGGGAGCCATGCTCCAACAGAAGCAAATCATTATTATTAGTTTAAGCAAAGAAGTTATGTATCTGATTTTAATAGATTTGAATTGTTTGTCTGAGAACTTGGTCTGTATCTTTTTAATTTGTTTCCTTTTAAATTGTGGTGAAATGGGCGTAGCATCCATTTTATCGTGTTAACCTTCTTTGGGTGGGCAGTTGAGCGGCATTAAGCACACGCACATCGCCGTGCAACCGTCACCACTGACCCATCTTCGGAAAATGTTCACCATCCCGAACTACAACTCTTTGCCCAGTAAGCGGTCACTCCCCATTTCGGTCTGTTCTGTCGTGTCTCGCTTTTTTCACATGGCATCATGTCTTCTTTTCTCTCTCTCTCCCCCCGTCTACCATGCTGTCCCTGGTTTGGGGTGATGTGCCGCATCATATTTTCAAAGTTCACTTGTGTTGTAGCGCGTGTCCGCATTTCCTTCCTTTTAAAGGCTAAATAATATTCCATTGCATATATGTGATTGTTACCTTTGAAGCTTCTTTGAGAACCCCTGTGCTCTTCAAATGTTCCTTAGGAGAAGCTGGCACGCGGGATGAGGGTCTTACCAAACAAGGCCTGCAAGGTCCCAGGTGCTGTGTCTCCAGACACACTGTTGGCATTTTCCTCCCTAAGCTGCAGATTAGCCAACAACGTGGGCTCATAGTTCTGTGTATTTACTCTCGTGACTGCGTTCCCTCCCCTGTCTCCTGAAGAGCTCTTGGTTGCCCTTCGGTGTTGAGGCAGATGTCCCCTGCTTTCTGGGCAGCCCCTCCTTCGCACTGCCCTTCCCCGCCCTCCGCAGAAATGACACCTCTCCTCTGTGCCCCTCCCACCCCATCTTTGTATGGACCTCCTTTATAGAGCTTCTTAGTCTGTTCGGGCTACTCTAACAAAATACCTGAGACTGGCTGATTTATAATTTATTTTCTCACAGTTCTGGAGGCAAGGTCCAAGATCAGGGCATCAGCAGGTTCAGTGTCTGTCGAGGGCTGATCTCTCTGCCTCCAAGGTGGCGCCTTGACCACTGTGTCCTCTGAAGAAGAACCCTATGTCCTCACACGGCAGAAAGTCAAAAAGGGAAAATGCTGTGTGAAGCCTCTTTTATAAGGCACTAAAGCCATTCATAAGGGCAGAGCCTTTATGACTTGATCGCCTCCCAAAAACCCTACCTCTTAATGTCACATTGGCAATTACGTGTCAACATACAGCTTTTGGGGGACACAGACAGACCGTAGCATAGAGGCTCTGGATTGTGGGTGTACATGTCATTCTCTTCCAACAGACAGTGGTCTTCTTGAGGGTGAGGACAGGCAGGGATGCCTAGCACAGTCTAGATGTTTTAGTTGAGTGAATCAACAAATCATATAACCAGTAACAAGAAGAATGACCAAGTTGCTTCCTTAACGGCTAGGAGCAGAAGGGAAAATAACTAGAACTTTGTATTTTGAGATCTATCCTTACGGAAAAAATTACTGTTATAAAAGTAACAATACCCCTCATAACAAAAACAAAAACACATGTACACATATACACATATGGTTTTATGCATTTAAAAAATACATCTGGGATAGAACTAGAAAAGAACACCGATCCTCAAGCCAGACCCTATCTCTGACACCAGTTGTGTGATGTTGGCAAATTACTGGATGTCACTGTGTTTCAGTTTCCTCATCTGTAAAATGGAGATAATAATAATACGCCCACCTTGTAGGATCGTGGTGAGAGTGAATGAGTTAATAAATGAAAAGTGCTTAAAAATAGTAGACACTTCATCAGTGTTCATTATCATAATCGCTGTTGTCATTGTTGTCACGCAGCCTTTGTCTTTTCACTTACAATTCCTTGAAGGTCTTTCTGTGGCAGCACATGAAGCCCACCTCCTTCTTTCCAAAGGCTGCGGGATAGCCCATTAGCTGGGTGCGTCCTAATTCACGTAATGTTTCCTGCAGACATTTAGGTTAGTGCCAGTTTTTCCACTTATAAACAATCCTTGGCCATTCAACTTTGTACAGTTGTAACTTTCTAAAAGTGGATTTGCTTAAAGGCTACTTTCTTGAACTAATAGAATTAAAAAATTGATCTCGAAAGAGGGTGTACCCATTCTGTATTCCCACTAACACAGTATGAAAATGAAACCTTCTTGGCTGGGCTCGGTGTTTCAGCCTGTAATCTCAGCACTCTGGGAGGCCTAGGCGAATGGATTGCCTGAGCCCGCGGGTTTGAGACCAGCATGGGCAACTTGGCGAGACCTCGTCTCCACAATAACTCAAAAATTAGCCGGGTGTGGTAGCATGCGCCTGTAGTTCTGGCTTCTTGGAAGGTTGGGGCAGCATTGCTGGAGCCCAGCAGGTCGACGCTGGGGTGGTCATGAGCATGCCACTGCACTCCAGCATGGGCGACAAGAGTGAGACACCAACTCAAAAAAAAAAAAAAAAAAAAAGAAAATGAAATGAAATGAAACCTTTTTTTATAAAGTCAAAGGGCAGGCTGAGTGCAGTGACTGATGCCTGTAATCCCAGAACTTTGGGAGGCCGAGGCAGAAGGATAGCTTGAACCCAGGAGTTCAAGATCAGCTTGGGCAACATAGTGAAACCTGGACTCTACAAAAAAAATTTTTGAGAAAATTAGCTGGGCATGTTGGTGTGTGCCTGTAGTCCCAGCTACTTGGCATGCTGAGGTGGGAGGATCACCTGAGCCCAGGAGGTCGAGGCCATGGTGAGCTGTGATTGTGCCACTGCACAACAGCCTGGGCAAGTAAGATCCTGACTCAAAAAAAAAAAAAAAAAAGTCAAAGGGCAGCAATGGAGAATGCTGAAAGAGGTCAGATAGCAGTTCAAGTTCTATCCTGTGGTGGTATGAAATGCCAGGGACAAATTTCTGCAATAAGTCAATTGTAATTACACAAAATGAAAATAAATCTAAGATTACCAATCCAGGCAACCACTATTGTTTTTCTCAGCATTATTATGTTATTCATTAACAGGTATTTGAGACCTTGCACCGGGCATGAACTGGGTTGGATTTTCTCAACCCCCGTGATGATTTGTTTGCTATGAGCCTTCAGTAACGTGGTATGGAGTTCAGTGGAGTCAGGCATTCCCATTCGGTGCCCATGAAGATAGAATAGGTGGTCGTATCCTAGTGGGATTTTATCTCTTTCTCATATTATAGGTACTTAGACTTTTAGGTAATTGTTAATACTTTAGGTATTCAGATGTATTTCCTA